CAACAAAGCAGTGGAGATCGTCGGAGAATTTTACTTTTTGAATCACGCTTGTGAGAACTAGCGAGTGAAGAAACTACCTCAAAGACTGCGCTCATCTTTCTAGAATTTTCAACAACTCTGATGGCACCATCAGTCATTTATCAAAATGTTCATGCATTGTCAGGAACATCCTCACAAAAAATGTTGGATAGTTGAGAACTGCATGCTGAAAAGCAAGTGGTCGTGAAGCACAGCTGTGCGATCGAGTTCCTAGCTGGCGAAAGTGACATGAGAACTTAAGTCATGAATGAATGCAGCTTAAGCAAACATGACATAAGAAATCTTGAGCAGGAATGGTGTTCTGGAAGCGTAGCTGGTGGAGTCTTTATGAAGATGCTTTTTGAGGAAATCGGTATCCTGTCGAAAATGCATAAGCATTTTTGTAACCCAAAAAGTTGACCTTTGTCGGGTTCATGGTGTTCAAAAATCTGTTCAAGCTGTCTTGAGTAAATCATTCTGCGTTTCAGGCGCGCGGAGCTCGGTCATAAAGCTAGTTCCACTCGAAAGAATAATATAAGGCAAAGATTCGTTACACTGCTGAAGAAATTCAAGATTCCTGAAGAAGAGGTTAGCAGGATTGTTGCCGTAAATTGAATTTCTGTATATGGCTGGCATGCGTAGGCTTAGCAATCGTTCAGTCTGGCAATTATGTGTGTACATTTTGTATCTATCTCAGCTAGCGTTTAGGGGATTCCTACAAGATCAGCTTCAGCTGCTATGGTCCCCACCGACAAAGAACTGCAAGATCTTTTTGAAGAGCTGGAAAATATGAGTGACTCTGGTGAGTTTCGTAACCTTTGAAGGTGAATCATTACTAGGTAAAGCTCGCAATCTTATATCACTTTTTGCAAATAAAGGTTTTAAGAAGGTAACAGAAGAAGGCTTTTTTTTGTTTTTGATCATAAATACGTAGCTTCAAGAAATGGACGTTTGTAGGACCTGAAATGGCAGCAGACGACATCTCCATAGGAAGCAATCCCAGGCCTGGTCTTCGTCCGTTCTTCACTAGATCGAAAGAAATTCTTCCCGCAATATACGACAGGGTTTGTTATATCTCTCCCTTTTCAATAAATATCTTTACTTCTATCATTTCCATGTAAGCCATAGTTTTCTCGATTTTGAAACAACTCACTGATTTTAGGTTTTGTGAAGTTGTTTCAAGATCAAGTGTTTGAATTGCGGAAAGATTTTTCTCTAAGAGGCTCGGAAGAAGCACTTATATGTGACTTCGTAAACAACAGTTTTAACTGCTTCTTTTCAGGGCGGTGACAACGGGTCTGACAGCGAAGGTGAAGCAGAAGATATTGACTGGTCATCGGAAACGGAAAAAGAGCGGGAGAAAGAAGAGAGGAAAACGTCACAGACTCATGATATGTTGAAGGAAGCATTGGCTGCATCAGGAGATCAGCTATCCTCAACAGTCACGCCAACGGTAAATCTTGAACTTTACATCATTGCACCAAAAAGTGAAAGCGTATACGACTGATCGCTTATGGCTTTGGCTTGACCATTGAACATATCAAAGTTTTAATCAATTAAAGCTTGTTAC